TCAAGTCTATTTGTATTATACTATTTGTATTATAATATTCAAGTCTATTTGTATTTTCAAGTCTATTTGTATTTGCAATTGCCAATATTAGGATGATTCTTTGATTTCGAATGAAACACTATAGTGTTTATTCCACTTCAATAAATTCAAGATTGATTTTTATCAAACACCCGTAATTAAAAACATGGTATGAGTAAACAAATTACTGTCTGCACTTTTAGAGCGTATCAAAATACGTTTAGGGAAAGTTTTAAGAACGGTCGATCGTTATTATCTATGTTATCAATTACTAGCGGTCTGGTTCACATGCCTTATCTCATCTAAATATGGCAAAGTAATGTCTGTGCTGTATCCAGTCATTGAGCGGCATTTGCTGTTTTTATTTTTGTGAAATTAGCTACTATATTCTGTGCGTGTATAAGTTAAATACTTCTTATCGATAAGATATCTCATAACTGTATCAACACATAGTTCTGTGTTTGTGCAGAACATGTGTTGTATTAAGAAAATAATTAATTTAGGAAATTATACGCCCCTATACTTTATTTCGCTTATAAACTGTGATGCCAGAACACGCGCGTTTGAGGTACGGGGTAGTACAAATGCTGCTAAAGTTTAAAAGGGAGAGATATATGTTTGAAAGAATGATGTCTGTCGTTGAAACGGAAAGACACCAGATATTAAAATATGTGTTGTGATTCATGGTAACTAAAAGCCAGCACGTATTAGTGATAAAAAGATATTTATTTATAATATGATCTTTAACTGACATTCAACAAATATAATTCTTTTCTCTTAATTAATATGTGATAAAGCTCAAAATTATTAGCTTTCTTTATTTTCCGCTCACTGTAACTAATGAATTTTTAAAAAATTATTTTAAACTTATACATTTCATTTTTGCTTCAAATAAATGTATAAGAAAAACCAGTGTGGTCCAGCCTTTAGTTACTCGAGGGCCAATTAAACCTTAATATAGGAGAGTGAGGGCCAGGGACATTAAAGAAAGAAAATGAATTACATATAAATCACTATTTTAATATATCACTTTATTTTACAGTCTAGAAATCAATGTGATGATTGGCACTGCTTTTTTTTTTTTTTTTTGGTACAAGTTTATCAATGTCCACTGTAATTTCAGTAAGGCAGACTCGATGCCAGTGAAGCACTTTCAATGCGATTTCTTGTTTTTGATTTAATATGCTTAAGAGCAGAAAAAGCACTTTCTCACACATATGTACTGGCAAACAGCGATAACATTAGCAAAGAGAATTTATGCATTTTGGGAAAACGTTCTTTAGAAATCAGTTTCCAGGAATGTTCAGTGGCATCACACTTTTTAGTCTGGTAGAGTGCATCTGCCTGAAGATTACGAATTTCCTTTTGAAGGTCGCAAAGGCACTTCACTTACTTCAATATCCATGGGATTATTTAACGATGAAAGTTTTCTTTTTAAGGAGTTAAAATCCCGGAATCTGTCCTGGAACTCTTTCTTGATATCAGTAATTATTTCATGAAACATGCTAAAATTTGTGTCATTTTCTTTTCGCACTGCGCCAATGAAAGTGTGCGATTTGATTTGCCATCAGTCATTAGCTTACCTAAGTTTTGTGCAAAAGCAAAAATGTTCATAAAGCTGGGATATGATATATGCATAAAGCTGAGATATTTGTTTCTGCCTTGTAGTTTTAAGTTGTTGTAGCATTTAGATGGGATGTTAAATCTGCCGAAAAACAAATATTTAAAAATGGATTTCTTCCCATTTTTCTTGATATCATGTTTTTTTTCTGAGAAAAGCAGAATTCATTCTCACCCAAAACTGTTGCAGACAATTTCCAGCATCTAGCCTGGACACTAGCACTTGAAAGTACAATGAAATTGTCACCATACTCAGCATCAAATTGTCTACCCCCTTCGAGCGGGTAGCGAAAACGCGCGCGCTATGCTGAGGCCGCAGTGTCTTACGCGAGCGTCTCTCCAGGGCCGGGGGCTTTTTTGCTAAAGCCGAAATTGAAATTTCCGAGTATCACGCATTTTAATAATGCTCTATAGAGTATTTAACGGCTTATGCTTATAAATATTTTTTATATATACTTTAATACCTTATTTCTTGCTTAAATGCATATTTTACAATTTTATTTTAATTCTCACCTTTTATGAATTTTAACATTATACATCTGAAACTAACATATATTACTTAAAATTCTCTTTCGTTGAAAAAATTTGAAAACAGGGATCTACACACAGTATAGTTAACATTCTTGCACTCGTTTCCTTTTTGAAGGATTTTTCCGGGAATGTGAACAAACGAAGCATCGTCGTCTCATTTTCTTACAGTCTCTTCTGAACAAAGTTTTGGAAATGTCTTTCAGTTAATCTTTCAGAATCAATATCAGAATATCAGAATTTCAGAATCAATATCTGAAATTTTCATTGCTTATGCTCTGTTAACATTTTCGACGCTGCGACATTTCAACGTAAAACAAAGAATTCACGTCTAACAGATCTAAGATTTTCTAAAAACTGAACTGCAAACCGAAATACCCAACGCTTTAGAGCAATAACACTCTACTTACAGTAACAACTACCCACGTTGAATAAAGTGCGATTTAAAGAGACGTCATAAATCACCATCGGAAACATTTATTTCCCCGTTTGTTATATAATCAAAACACGTGTATGTGAGTCATGCTTCTTCATTTCGAGTAGAAGGTTAAATTACATGTATCGAAACCATATGACATACAGGCCATTGTGGGCAGAATTATAGTTTGAAAAACGTTCAAGTACTGGCACAAATACGGAAGTCGGTAGAGAACGGAACAATCCTCTGGCACGCCTGCGTGTCGGCCGGTAGGTAAGTGTGTTCGTTGCTGGCACGTATACGTGACAGTCGGCGCGAAGGGGCTACAAATGCAATAAATGTTCTGTGTCTCTGGGCTTTGCCTCCCTTTATTAAATTTACAACAGTTTTCATTGTCTCACTGAGCCTCCTGGTGGATAACACAGTGGGAAAAAAAGCAATATATTCCTTTTTCTTTACACAGTCCTACTCACCCAGTTCAATGACCAACCATCTGTTGTAATGCCAGAGCTCCATCTGTTGCTTTAGCTCCCTCTGTTGCAATGCCAGAGTACTTCCCGGAACCTCCATATTTAGAAATAACATTATCCAGTTGAATACATCAATACCTTTGGTGCTAGTTTCTAATAATTTTAATTCCAATAGTTCTTCATGAATTTCAAATTCTTCATTTTTTGTTTTGACAAAGATAAGGAGCTGACTGATGTCAGCATAGAGCTACAGAGTAAAATTTGCATTTTCTCAAAATGCCCTTGAGAGTATTTGAAACTTCACTACCCACATCATTAATTCTTCTACTTACTGTCTGATGGGACAAGGACTTTGTATAGAGACATTAGGATTTTTTGAAAGCAGGAGAAGTGAAAAATAAGCAATGCCCTCGCCGAGAATCGAACCACGGACCTCGTTAATATGCGCCCAGCGTGCAGACCACTACACCACTAGGGCAAGCTAAGAAGGCGGGATTGCAAGTGATCCTCAAGCTATAGATCTAAGTTACCGGAATGATTGATAGACACCGATGGGCAACAGCATTTCTTTCCATAATTTTTATTAGTTTTTTTCAAAATTTTCACATTAAAAAGACCCTTAGCGAAGAGTTTACAAAGTTTGGGGCCGTTACATTATGTTGCGCTACCATAGGCATATCATCCTTCGCCTCAGCAAATATTTAAATTGCACAAAATTTAAGAAGTTCAATGAATTTTATCGTCCACGTATGAAAAGCATATGAAAAATTATAAAATGGGAAATATTTAAAATGCCTCGGCAGATTTCATTGCAAATAATTTGAAACTGTAATCAATTGTGAAACCCTCTTGTTTTTGAGATTAATGAAAGAAATGAATAGTAAAGTACAAATATCTATAAAGAAAAATGGAAGAAAAACAGCATTCATATAATAGCAGATGCCTTCTTTAGCAAGCTTAATTTCTTTTAAAGTAATTCTTTCTAGCAAGGAGAAGGAGATAAGTTAAATAAATAAATAAATAAATAAGCATTAAAGAAATCTACACGAGAGCACGAAAAACAGTATGAAATATAATGCCATTATAACTTGGAAACTACAAATGAATCACGTGATCAAAAGAAAGAACCGACAATTCTCCTTCAGCTTTAAAGTCTGAAACATATTTAAAAATATATAAAAATTCGCCTATTTAAATATTTGTTTCTCATTCTCGTTTTAAAAGAGGGAGAAAATTTTTTTCAATTATCTGTGAAAATTTCAAAGCCTTATATCCGATATATTTTTAGATCTTCAAATTTAAAATAATGCATGTCAAATAGCCGGAAAAGTGAGCGAGGTTTGAAAATTCGCCAAAAAAAATACATAAAAAACTTCATATAAAACACTTTTTTCCTATATATTCAATTGTGCAAACAATCAAATTTTAAGATTTTTAACATGCTCGTTAAGCGAAGATATATGCGAAAAATTGTTTCAACATTAGATTTAAAAAATCCTAAATCGAATTTTGAAAAAATCGCTTCACCACACTGTATTGTCATCGACAACTAGTGTGCGGAAAATTTTGAATTCGATGAACTTATCAGGAAGTTTTAGTTTAAAAACTGATGACAGACTTTTGACCGTAGCAACTAATACCACGAAAAGCTAAGAAAGGGTTGCATCGTTGAAATCAACAAGAAAGTTCTTATAAACGCGAAAAACTAGACAGACTACTGCAAAGTTTTCCAAAGGTATTAAGAAATAAACCGTAAACAACAAACAATCAGTTAATCGCAAATAACAAATAATTAACCACAGACAGTAAACAAATAATTCTTAATTACAATCCGTTTCGAAAACCAAATATTTGTTTCTTCACATGTATTTTCGTTAATCGTGTAAAACTCAAACATTTGCAAAACAGAAGTAATAAAAATGGCATTTAAATTATGAAAACTCCTGTTTGCTCCAAAACTCAAATGTTTATTTGATTTTCAGCGAAACAAAATGTTGACATTGCAGGACTTTAAATACATATCAGCTGATTCTTTCTTATTTTCTTTTACCTTTAGCTGGTGCGAGAAGTTTTTCCATTTTTTCAATTTCACCAGAAATAAATTTTTCTTTATCCAGTGTTTCTAAAGCCTACAAATGAAGGAATTACACATTAAGTGATTTGAATGTAGTATTTTATTGATGAATCTAAAGGTTTATTTTAAGCGTTTATAATTAACTTAATTTTACAGAAAATGGTTTGAAACTAATTTATAAATAAATCGAAACGTTTATTTTAATCTATATGTTTAAAATAAATGTTAGATTTATTAACAATATTTTATGAAGCTGTCTCTTCTGAACTTTCTGATTTCATATGCACAAGTGCTCATTCTAGAAAAGTATGCAGTACAAAGAGAAAACGTAGAGAAAAAGTAATGCTGCAATGAGACAGAAAAAAATCTTATGTAAAACACCACATGACTTCCTTGTACGGAATATTAAATTATACGCATTTTTTCTTACATTTTATTTAAACTTATTAGATTGAATTAAACCTACTTCGCCGACAGCGCATAAACCACAATAGAATAAATGCATTCTTTAAAATCACTTTGTTTTTATCATAGCGACACTCTGGCGCTAGTTTACTTAACAGTATTATATTTCATTCAAATTATAAACTCAGAATGCACAAAATGTATATCATTTAAAGAATTATCTAATCGTTGCCACATGTTCTATTCAAATACTATAATAAAGCTAGAACTATGTATAAAAGAAATTAAGCAAACAAAACAAAACAGAAACATGACATTTTTCCCAGACGATTGAGTATTTCTCATTCAATTAATTCAGTTCTCACTTCGCGAGAAGGCAAAAATACACAAAAACTCAAAATATCTATATTAAAAATTACGAAGTAAATCTCACACTCTTATTTCCTCGAAAAAATTCCAGAAAGAATTAAGCATGATTTAATTGGCAATAATAAATGAATGCGTTATCTTTGTTGTTGCGAACCTAAGTTTCTCTAGATTGGCAACAAATCCACTAGTCTCCTGTTTCAAATGTAAACATCAAATGGCCGCCATTAAAAACAGGATTAGCGGCAATTAAACAACTTTAAATTGCTGATAATTCTAAAAATATTGCACACAGATTTACTAAAGGCATAAAATCCTTAACCGAAAGATAAACACAAAGTAGTAATTCAATCATTTTTAAAGCAAAAAATGTACAATTTACAAACATATAAGAGTAAAGAAACTGAGATCACTGAGCCGGGTAGAGTGGATATATATATAAATATATTTATATACGTTTGGTGCACATCTACATGTTATAGCAGTCTTATATACAAAATTTCAATGTTCTGAGGCTACTCGTTTTTGAGTTATGCGAGATACGTACGTACGCACGTACGTACTACGTTCGTACAGACGCCACGAAAAATCCTCTTCAGAATTAATTTTAAAGCAGTTTTTTTAAATTTTTTGAAGGAAAAGAGTATTTTTTCTGTCCTTACGTACAGATATGACGCAAAACAATCGTAAATTGCATTCGATAGCGGTCAAAATGGATATTTCGTTGAAATATGCTGTCTGAAACTTTTCGCGATTACAATACTTCCTTTTTACTTCGTACAAGGAAGTAAAAAATGACTTTTTAAGAACTATTATTGAAATTAATCAGTTAATTATGATTTAAATCTTTACACTGTCACTTCTTCCTTCCGTTTCCCTGCCATAATGTAAATTTATTTCTGAATATTTAAACTGAGGTTATTAGAGTCTAAGACAGAGTGTATTTCTGCCTCTGGAGACCACGTTACTAAGTTAGCTAGATTAGATAAGACTGTATTCTTCGGCCTTGCATTATAGTTGCCAATATTTAAACTGGTACGCCTGTGAGAAGTTTGAGCCATCTTCACGTTAAATCATTTGTGTAGCCTTTGGGTACTTAGTTTTAAATTTCAATTTACTGTTACTTTAAGTTACATTGCCACAAGTGGTGGTTGAAATGTAGCACAAAGTCATCAAAGTCGTGCATTTATGCTCCAGTTCTGATTTAATAAAAAAGTTTTAAAACCTTCCTTAGATTTTATAGTTCTGTGCAGACATAGCGATAATTCATTTAACGTTTGTTAAGAGTTTGATACTAGTTTATGCTAGCGAAACAAGTCAAAATTTATAACTTTACTGATATGATTTAGTTTACAATTAGTTATATAGCAAGGCTGTACATCCGTATTCTTGCTGGTCTGAATGTGTAACTTAGTTTAAAGACAGCTGAAAAGTGATAAGAATTTAATTATCTGTTTAGCAGCTTAACAACTAATGAGATAATCAAAATCGTAAAAAAACAACCTTATATTTAGCGTAGGTATAATGAAACACTCAATCGATTTCGAGGGCAGCTAAAGGTCCCTCCTCATCAGGAGAAAGAAATACATAGAAAGAAGAAAATAGGAATCACAGAAACACGTGGTGCTTATCAGCACTGCACGTGGTTATAACTAGATTTTTAATCAGAGTTGCACTGGCCGCCTACTTTTACTGAGCCAGGCTGTCTGATCAAGTATAAAGAAATATTAGCGAAGTTAAAATAGGGAGCGAGGGGCAAATGCACATTACGCTCAAAATTGAAGCTCATTATTTGAAGTTCAGATTTTGAGCGTAATGTGCATTTGCCCCTCGCTCCCTATTTTAACTTCGCTAATATTTCTTTATACTTGATCAGACAGCCTGGCTCAGTAAAAGTAGGCGGCCAGTGCAACTCTGATTAAAAAATCTAGTTATAACCACGTGCAGTGCTGATAAGCACCACGTGTTTCTGTGATTCCTATTTTTCTTATTCTGTTTCTTTCTCCTGATGAGGAGGGACCTTAGCTGCCCTCGAAATCGATTGAGTGTTTCATTATACCTACGCTAAATATAAGGTTTTTTTTTACGATTTTGATTGTCACATTAGCGTGTTTCTCTTCTAGTCTAACTAATGAGATAATTTAGGGCTATTAACAGGCACTCAAAATTTGTGGGGAATTATCAGTTTTATAACTCTAAAACATTTAAGTTTCTTAATAACTTCTGAGACGCCGTTTACATTTTACTTTTAGTTTGTCTTCACGAGTTTTAGCTCGGTAAAATTATATTTAATTTTGTCTTACGTTTGGTACTACTTACTCTGAAATGTAGTTTATAACATGAATTCAATGAAATTGCTAAATCATCAGCAGTGATTTTCTATTAAAATCGTTAGGATAGAAACTAACAAAATGAGCAGACTATAAATTGCATATATGGCTATATATTTATACAAATGCTTAATCATTTTGTTCTGATATTATCTGAGTATAAAGACTTAATCATTTTGTTTTAATATTATCTGTACTTCTGTAACCTACTTCAGTTGATATATTACTGCAAAGTTTAAATTTTGATTTCATGGAGAATAAATGAGAAATTATCTCCTAGGAAATATGAAGTAAAACTTAGATAGTAAATGTAATTTGTAATTAATTAAAGTGCTTAATTAATTAAAAGTAAATGTAAACAATTGAAACCATTAAAACAAGAAAATCATTATTGATTCCATTGAAAAAGATTCTGATTTTTCAAGCGGAACTGAAATTCATAAAATTGATAAGAAAATTGAAAATTGGCACAGGGATTTTGTTCAGAAATGCGAAATGACGAAAAATGATCCTCGTGAGTTATTGGTGGTTAGGTGGAGGAATTTCAATTCCCCTTACGAGTCTTTTGCGCCGCCTGCGGTTTCTCGTTGCCATCGAATATATAGAAGTTTTTCTGTTGATCAATGCTGAATACTCAACACGAGTAGCATGCTTCAGGTAGTCAAATTGTTGACAATAGGGGTCTACAGTCACAGTCTAACCAGGTTTCATTGCTTTAAACTCATCATGTTCTCAATATTTTACCACATGCAACAAAACGTTTCGGGAAGTGTTGCAAACGGCATCTAACCTGATCAAATCTATTGTTTTTTGTGCTTGGTATTAACGCATAGAACTAATTTTTATCCTACAGTGACAATTCGATGAACAGTTGATTCTTTTTCCTGTCTGTTGAGCAAGGAACTGCAGATGGAAAAACATCTGTCCTTGTCGTCAGCTGATAATTCGTGTGTACCGAAACTTGCGGTCTATAAATTTTCCCGATTCGCAAGTATAATTTGAGATTTGTGTGTATTCTTGCGCAGAAAATTTGATCAAGATATGATTCACTAACTGAACCCAACAGGTCATTATCCAGCGTCTCTGTTATCGCCAAATGACAGGCGTCGGTAAATAAAATTTCCCTGGCCAAAATTTGGCAAACCACAACTGGCATTTGCAGACATCTCAGGCATTACAACAAATATTTTTAATGACTGTTATATATTACCCTAGCGAAATTCATACAGCACGCAATGATGGAGGTGATTTTTCCTCGTATCTTCCGTCTTTTTTTTGACTATCTATAGTTCATTGCTTTAAACCCATCAAGCACCGAATATTTAACAGCAACGCAGTGCTCTTTTCATTGCATACCGTAGCGAATAAAATTTAATTCATGAAGATTCTGTGCAATTACTTCTTATAAAGAATCAATTAAGACAAAGATTATGTCACCATTATTGGTCAATTTCCTGGAAAAGGATTACATTAATGTAAAGAAATTAGTTTATACTTGCATGGATGTTCTTTAGTGAAGGGATTTGAATATGGATATATTTTCTTATTAAAATTTTTTAAAAAATTAACAAATATCTTATCATTTCCTTGTATTATTCATCAAGAAAACTTGGTAGCATCTGTCTCTATGCCTCTTTGGATAAAGAAAACTGTAATCAATATAATGAATTTTAAAAGTGAAAAAGAAACTACCCAATACAAAATTTTAAATGAGGCGAAACAGCAACATCATTTTGGCGTACATTTTGAATAAAACTCTATCAATTTCAACGGTGATCAGACACAGTTCTCTCATCTTTAGGAGCAAAAACATTTTGCAGAATATTTTTATTCAATATTTTTTGTATACCTTGGGACGAAAGTTAAGCATCGGAAAAATTTCAGATAGTTTTTCTTCTTTCTTTTATTAAATTATTTTATTTTTGCAAGAAAACAATAAATTGTATAAGCTTAG